GCACTCGTAGAGGTGAGGTGCAGGCATTTCTTGCCAATGACATCATGGCATTTTGGTGGCATGACAAACGAGATGTCACACTGTTGTCATCAGTTCACCCTAACGAAATGGCAGACACTGGCAGGCAGCATAGTGAGAGCAATGTACCCATTCTAAAACCTGCAGCTGTGCCTGACTACACCTTCAATATGTGTTCAGTGGACAAATGTGACATGCAGATTGGGTTTACTGATTGTGTTTGCAAGAGTTATAAGTGGTACATAAAACTTTTTTTCCATATTCTGGACATTTCCATGCTCAATGCTTATAATATGTATAAGATGAGGACCAGAAACAAACCACCATATGGCAAATTTTGTTTGTCTGTCATCAGACAAATAATAATCAAGTACCAAGGAACAACACCTGCAATAGAAAACTGCCCACGAAATTATCAACAACTACCTTCTCTTCTGAAGCATGGTGATCACTTCCTAACAAAACTGCCTGCTACTGCTTTCAAGAAAAAGGCTCAGAAGAGGTGTTACATCTGTGCACATACAAAAAAAAAAATGGCCACAACAACACAGAGACACTCATTTTATGTGTGAGAAGTGTAAACCACCACTGTGCATGATACCATGTTTCAAAGACTTCCACAGGCTGCAGAACTTCTAGAAACATGTCCTGTGACTGTATATGTGTATATAAAATATAGAAAAATAGTAATAAACAACATTTTATATTGTTCGTTTGTGTAAACAAGTTTTGTAAACAATGTAGTGACAACAGTGTTTGTGCAGTTATTGTATAGTATAGAAAGAGAAAAAACTTACAAAATACAGTGGACCCCCGGTTCGCGATGCCATCGGTATCCGATAAATCCGGTATGCGATGCATTATATCGCAAAAATTTTGCCTCGGTTCCCATTAAAAAGTCCGGTATACGATTCGTCCGAGACGTGTCCACATGTGTGCCAGTGTTTACAAGCCAGCCAGTGTATTCGCATCTAAGGATACATTCAGTACATTACATGTTATCACAGTGTTTTTGGTGCTTGTTTCTGCAAAATAAGTCACCATGGGCCCCAAGAAAGCTTCTAGTGCCAACCCTTCGAGAAAAAGGGTGCTAATGACTATTAGCGCCAGATCTTCATTAAAGCTAAGTGTCATGTATTCTATTGTTAGTAGAGTACTACAAACTGTGCATGTCTTCTTCAGTTTGTGTGCATTAAACTTAATATTTCATGTGGTAAAAATTTTTTTTTCATACTTTTGGGAGTCTTGCATGGATTAATTTGATTTCCATTATTTCTTATGGGGAAAATTGATTTGCTTTCCGATATTTTTGGTTTACGATGAGCTCTCAGGAATGGATTAATATCGCAAACCGGGGGTCCACTGTAGTGCTCATATTGGTCTCATAGGCCATAAACGTTACTTGAAAAAAAAATATATAAAATAATAGAAAAAAGTAGAAAAAAACAAAATAAATGATTACCGGGTGACCAGCAGTTGGCGATCTTGCTGTATGCTGTTCACTTTCTGTCAACTTCATGCCTCCATATCTCGGTAAGTATTGATGGCAAAATTTCTTTTTTAGCCTATAAAGTTTAGAAAAAAAACTATCTTTTCATAAGAAAAAATAATTATTTTTCAAATATTTTCCGACCCTGAGAACAGGTTTGGGAGAGGGCCTGCCGACCCTGAAAGGGTTAATATACGATATTTAAAGCAGCCCAGAGATAAAATACACATATGGTACACTCAATATTTACCTTAAACTATGTGTAGTCTTAATGTAGGATGAAAGGTGAGTAGTATTCATTTGTAGAAAGTCAGTGTAGGTAGCCGGTAGGTGTAGCCCACCTGGACTACACCTACCTACATGGCCATATGATATTTAACCCTTTCAGGGTCGACAGGCCCTCTCAGAGACTTGTTCTCAGGGTCGCCCAAATTTCAAAAAAAAAAAAAAAAGAAAAATTTTTTCTTATGAAAAGATAGAGAATCTTTTCCTGATCATAAGGACACCAAAAGTATGAAATTTGATGGAAAACTTACGGAATTATGCTCTCGCGAAGTTAGCGGTCTCGACGATGTTTACGCATCAGCGATTTTGCCCACTTTCAGCCCTATTTTCGGCCAATCCCACTGTACTAGTCGACAAAAATCATGAATATTTCACTAGAACTACATTTTTTCTATCGAATGAGTGCAAGAAACCACCAATTTACCGATTTCAACTATCCAATACAGCGGTCAGAATTTAGCAATTTTGCCAATTTCACACAAATTTCAAAAAATGCCAATTTCCAAATAGGGTCCAGAATAAACAAGAAAGACATTCCTGTCACTAAAATGACATTTCCTCTGTTCATTAGTCACATCCCAACGCCCCTCTTACAATCTTTTGCTTTCCACTTTGAATTTTTATTCTCACAAAAAATAGAAGATTTACTGTTATGCAGACTACTCCATTAGTGTAAAAAATGGTATAAATAATATCAGCGCACTTGTGAAAGAATATTAGACTCACCAGTTGACGTGTATTGGACGCTTAGCAAGATTTGTTTACTTTTGAACTTTGGTAAAAATCGAACATTTCTGCTACTTTGAGCTCAATTTCAAGGTACTTTTCATTACAAAATCATCTCAATTTCTGTAATATGTCTTCCATTCTATAGAATGAGACCAGGAAAACTAGAATACAACAATAAATACCATACAAAAATACAGTGCAAAGTCGCTGTTTTAATCCAAAAACACGGTCAAAGTTTTTTTTTTCTCATTACGCACTGTGTGCTGCAGGATTTTTTTTTATACTGCGCACACTGACCACATAGACCCATTCTTTCATATGTAGGCCTACCAGCTTTCTCTCACTAGATTTGAGTGCGCTAGAATTTAGGCGTACTACTAGTACGTCAAAAATCCTGGTGCGTAAGCTGTACTAGTACGGCCGAAACCCTGAAAGGGTTAATGCGGCCCATTGCCATATTATTACCATAGACATATCTTGTTCACTGAGTTTATTTCTAACAAGTACCTTTAGATGCCATCATAAACGAAGGGAGATATAATGAATAATTCATGTTGAAAATTGTAAACAAAAGCCGAGTGTTCAGGGGAGGGACTGGGCCAAATGCAGATTCATACATGCTTTCTCTGGTGCTGGACCAGAGAAACTGTAATGTTTTCCCTCCGCCTGGCTAGCACACCTCCACACCATATAAACATAGCATGTTTATATGCTATGTAACGTGTGTCTTATATAATTTTGAAGAAAATATCATAGATGGATTAATGAAAATGTCTATATGTACTAACATAAAATAAGATATTTAATGTGCCCAAGAATGATTATTACGAACTATTAGTATTACTATGGCGTTATGACTAGAGGGACACTCAGTGATTTTAATGTGTACCTGCAAGCCAGCACAGTGTGTAAGTATATTTAGGTACAGGTACACATAAGTGTATTATCAGAGTACACATAAAATATGCAATAACTTTAAAACACTTGAAATTTTGGAAAGTTTCCAGACATAATAGAGAGATGTGCTCAAGGAAAATGTAAACAAACAGGGTGGGGTGTGCCGTATTAGAAAGACGGGTTGCCATATAGCAAGTTTTGGTCATAATTTGAAATCACCGTATTAGCAGAACGCCGTAAAGCGGGGCCCTTCTGTACCTTGTATTGCTCTATTCTGAGTCTTCTCTACAATTTTCTGTGATGATAAATATATGGGTAAGGGGGAAATTCACATAGGTTTTTTTTCACCTTTATGGGAAGCAGTTGGCAATGTGTTATGGGTGTTGATATCAGGTTGAATCATGCACCACCACAACACACCATATACACTTATCATCATACTCTCCTACTCTCGTCAACATGTCACAACACTTCACCACACAGACAAAAAGATAAACTGCAATGAACCCCAAGGTGTTGAAAGAAATTGACAGCAAAAACTGGGGGTAATAGTTTTCAGCTGCAGCAAAAAAATTAATAATATCTACAAAAGAGAAAAAGAGGAAATACATTAATTAGCATCTAGAAGAATAAAAACATATTGGAAAATGTATGAAAGGGAAAAAAATGGGCCAAGGGAAAAAAATGGGCCAAAATGACTAACGTTCACACAGTCCATACATAAGAAGAAACTGCTGAAGAGAGCGTGGGACATAAGGAATCTGCAAGAATGCAGCCACATTTAAATTAGACCAGACCTCTCAAAGGAGGAAAGAAATACAAATAAATTTTTTTACCACTAGTCATCTCTCACCATCATTCATTGAATAGATGTCCTGCAAAAAGTGAACAAACAACACAATTCAAATGACCTTCCAAACTGCAATATTCCTACCCGTCCTTCAGACTACAAGTATTATATGTACTAATTTTTTCACAAATTTGAAAACATTACTTGGAAAACTGATGTTATTCATGTTTCAAAAAACTGGCTGTACTTAAAAACTTTCTTAATATGTAATTTCAATGAAGATGATCTAGTATATCTTGTAGTAAGTAATATACATTGCTGCTGGAAGCACCAATGATAGCACTGCAATCACTAACACCATACCAAAGAGGTCAGTCTACTGTAGCATATTCAGAATCCTAGCCAAACAATTGCTGCTATTAGATGATACAAAATTACACTAGGGAGCATTGAAGGAGGCAACCAGTGCACCCTGGGCAGATACTACCTATTCCATCTCTATGTTATCCCACGTTCAACATGTGTTCACCTGACTTCTTTTACTATATGTACTGCTTGCTCTGGCTGCTCTATATTATGCATAAAGAAGCCATTTATGGCCAAATGTTTCCTTAATAAAGGTTGTGATCAGTGTATATGTATCTTTTACACTGTGAGCATACTATGCAAGTGTGTTCAATTTAAAATCTATGCAAAAAGTGTTTTCAATATATCTAAACAAAAAGAAGCGGAAAAGAAAAAAGAAACTGTGAAAATACTACTGCACCCAATAATATACAAGAGGGCAAAAAAATAAATGATTTATCACTTACCCACCGCATATTTGTCTGACACATCCTTTTAGCCATTCTTTATCTTCATCCTTTATGTCAGGAACAGTTACTTCTAAGTCACCACTGATCTGCAGATTTGACAACTTTTCTGGTGCACAATTGTAGACAGGCAATGCAAGTGTAACACGAAGAAGATTAACAGATTTATGTATCCTGGATAAACTGTTACCTAGAGATCTGAGGGCTTCTAAAGTCATGATTCTGACACAAATTATTTTCAGCTTGAAGCAATAACTAAGAACTTCCTTTCCCTTTTTTTGATTTCCAAGTGAGCCTGTGAAGGTTGTGAGATGACCCCATGGGCGAAGTGTACGAATGAAATCATCGGATAGTTTTGTGTTATATTCATTATGCCGCCAGAAATGCAACTCGACTAGGATGGGATTGTTTTTGTCATATCGATTTCTCAATTTGTCTCTCAAGTTGGTCATTGTATCTAGTAATTCTGGAATATCATAAGGTTCAACATTACTGGGCATTTCAATTTTAAGCTCCTGTAAGTCCACTGGAGTGTTACTTAAAAGTTGGAGTCCTGTTACAACATGAGTATCATTCAGCTCCCATCTCCTTAAAGGCAGTTCTCTAGCAATAATGTCTGCAACTTTTCTGTGATGGAGTGCTTCAGTCAAAATTTTCCACCAAAAATTATAATTACCAATGCCAGTTTCTGATTTTTTTATTAAAGTAAATAGTGGTCCTATATTCCTTTCCAATATATGATTTATTGCCAAGTGGCCAGTCAGAAACACAATTACTTCACGATACTTCCACCACTCAGTAGTGTTATTACAAATGCTGTCTAATGTCTCCCCACCTATCACGGTATTTGCTAAGAATCCTGCAGCAAGATATTCCATTTGGGTTTTATGTAGAAATGCATAAGTGCTTTCAGTAGCTTCATTATTTTCATCAATCTCACACATTAGAAAGGCAGACATAAATTCTACATCATCAATTTTTTCATACTCACATTTTTCTATAATTTTTTTCTTAATATCTTCAGAAATACAAATTCTAGTATTATTCAATTGGAGCATGAACCAAGCTTGTTTACCCAGAAACAGCACAACATTCTGTACTGCACCTGTGAGTAAACCAGCATGAAGTCTCTCTTCAAGCTTTTCTTGACACAGTTTGAACAATTCACAATACAGATTTGTGGCAGTGGTAACTCTGTTAAGAATATCTGGATTATCCCTCCAGAGATAAATTAAGAGGGCTAGTGTAAGAGGAAGTTTAAGGTGGCTTCCCAAAACTTTTCCACGTCCACGAATGTACTTTAAAAATTCACCAATTTGTATTTCTCTGTTCATTTCATTTTCTTCAACTGCAGTGAAAACTTTTATGGTAAATTCCTTTAATCCCACATAATCAAATCCACAAACTTCAATTGAAAGACAATCCACATCATATCTGTTTGATAACAAAACTGCATCTGTGTGATATTCAGGACAGGTTGTTAGTATTATACGTTTATTGCTAAACTTTGCAAATATTTCTTCTACTATGTTCTTAGCTTCATCACCAGCTTCATCAAAACCATCAATGACGAAAAGTATGTCTAGCTCCTGCAGTAATGGTATGATTTCAAATGAGTCTTTAAACTGTTCATTGTGTGTCTTAGGGAGTCTTTGCTGAGTAAGATATTCTGTCAGGGTTTTTGACTTTACTGTTCGCACTTCAACAAGAAACACCAGATCAAAATTCTCTATAGTATTTATAATTTTCTCTGCAATCCCACACCAGTTATTTAAAATGTAACGACACAAAGAAGTCTTGCCAGATCCTGCTAAGCCATAGAGTATCAATGCACATGGGATTTTCTCCTCACCATCTATTCTTGTAGATGCTTGAAGTAGTTCTGAGATTGAAATTTTTCTATCTGAGTCTTCAATTTTAAGTGGTGTGAAAATTTTATCAACTTGAAACTTTCTAAGTGAAGTTTTTGAGCTATCATGTGATAACCATGTGCAGGGATTTAGAACCGTCAATTGCCATAAAGTGTCTTAAGTTCTTTGCAACCATGAGCAATCAACTTGAGTGTCTTGTCCATCTTAAATGCCTTAACATCTTCTTCATATGTTATCATATCATCTTGGCGAATTTGAGCATCATAGATATCAGAAAGAGTCTTCTCCATTATTTCAATATTTCCTGTAAAATCTTCTTGTAGAGTATCACCTACACCTATATAAATCTCCTTTAAAACTTTTTTGAGGTTATCAATCTCAGCTGTTATATCTAAATGATTAGAAAGATACTTATGACTTATTTTATTCCTCAATGACTTTAAGTTAGCGATGTTTTGCTGGCAATTACTATCCAACTCATTATAAATATTACAACATACTGTAGTCATTAATTTGTAGGCAAAGGATATATCAAATTCCTGTTCCATTATGTTTTTATCAGGTAGTGGTTGGACTGTTTTGGAAAATGCAGTCTTCTGTCTAGTTGAACTCAGGCACGACACTTTCTTGGAGTACTCTCGCACCGACACTGTTTCCCCAGTAGAATTCACACAAGAATGTAAATACATTCTTCGTGTAACATCACACATAGCCTTCTGGCCTACTTGGTGGATACACTTATACACTTTACTGAAATTGAAGTCTTCAAGCGAGAAGCCTTTGGGCATCCGACTCTCTGGTAAGCCAGTTTGCATCACTGCAGTGCTGAGAAAGATGGCCAGATGAGAAGCTGGCTCCCTCAAGAATTCCCAGCTATCCATTGATCACAGCTGTTGATCAACCATTCTTACAGCTTGGATTTTATCCACTGCCTGAAAAAACTATAAAATGTTATAATTGGAAATCATAATTCCTAAAAACTCAATGACAAAAATTAAGTACAGTGCATTATTGTTACTGTTGTTGTTGTTATTATTTTTAACACACCAGCTGTCTCCCAATGATTCAGAGCAACCCGAAAAAGAAGCAATGCTTTCATAAAGTTTTTCTTCTTTTTAACATTTAGCAATTTATATGGGAGAAGAAGTTACTAGCCCAATGCTCCTGGCACTTTAGTCACCTCTTATGACATGCATGGCTTATGGAGGAAGGATTCTTGTCCACTTATGCATGGAGATACTATTATTATTACCATATGTTCATGAAGTACATAGTAGTAAACCTACAGGGGTCATACAACACCTGGGGAATGAGAAGTAATCAGATTTGATCAAAGAATAGGAAGGATATCTCCAATTTGGTGCATCAAGAGCCCTTCACTGGGTTTAGGTCACCCATCTTGAAGGGATAAGGACAAAGCACAGTAGCATACTGCTACCAATAGGAAAGGGCCGAGTCTACAAATGTAAGAATAATGCAAATATTTTCAAAAACTGCAAGAAAATAGTAAAGTATGGTAGACCATTAATTACAGTACAGTGGACCCCCGCATAGCGACTTTAATCCGTGCAAGAGAGCTCATTGTTATGCGAAATGATCGGTATGCGAATGAATTTTCCCCATAAGAAATAATGGAAATCAAATTAATCCGTGCAAGACACCCAAAAGTATGAAAAAAAAAAAATTTTACCACATGAAATGTTAATTTTAATACACACAAACTGAAAAAGGCATGCACAATAACATGACACTTACTTTTATTGAAGATCTGGTGATGATTGATGGGATGGGAGGAGGAGAGAGTGTTAGTGTTTAGAAGGGGAATCCCCTTCCATTAAGACTTGAGGTGTCGGGTCCTTTTCTGGGGTTACTTCCCTTCTTCTTTTAATGCCACTAGGACCAGCTTCAGAGTCACTGGACTTCTTTCGCACAACATATCTGTCCATAGTGGCCTGTACCTCTCGTTCCTTTATGACTTCCCTAAAGTGTTTCACAACACTGTCAGTGTAATAATCACCAGCACGGCTTGCAATAGCTGTGTGAGGGTGATTTTCATCCATGAAGGTTTGCACTTCAAGCCACTTTGCACAGATTTCCTTAATCTTTGTAGTAGGCAATTTCTTCAATTTCTCTCTCCCCTCCTTCGAACCAGTTTCCTCAGGTCTGGCCTCTTGCTGTTGAAGTTGATCTATCAGCTCATCAGTGGTTAGTTCTTCATTGTCCTCCTCCACCAACTCTTCCACATCATCCCCACTAACCTCCAACCCCAAGGACTTTCCCAATGCCACAATGGATTCCTCAACTGGCATAATCCCTTTTGTCTACACATTCTGGCCACAGTTTCTTCCAAGCAGAGTTCAAGGTCTTCTTAGTCACTCCCTCCCAACCCTTACCTATAAGGTTTACACAATTGAGAATATTAAAGTGCTCTCTCCAAAACTCTCTTAGAGTCAGTTGAGTTTCTGAGGTCACTACAAAGCACCTTTCAAACAGAGCTTTTGTGTACAGTTTTTTGAAGTTTGCAATAACCTGCTGGTCCATGGGCTGCAGGAGAGGAGTGGTATTAGGAGGCAAAAACTTCACCTTAATGATTTTCATGTCCCCATAAAGTCGCTTTGTCTAACACCAGGAGGCACTTAAGTTCTAATTTCTTTTCAGTTAGGTAATCTTTCACATTGGGGGCAAATGCATGGTGTAACCAGTCATAGAAAAAGTCCCTAGTGACCCATGCCTTACTGTTTGCCCTCCACAGCACACACAAATTCTCCTTGAGGACATTCTTTTGCCTGAACGGTCTGGGAGTTTCAGAGTGATACACTAATAAGGCTTCACTTTGCAATCACCAGTAGCATTGGAACACATCAACAAAGTAAGCCTGTCTTTCATAGGCTTATGTCCTGGGAGTGCCTTTTCCTCCTCAGTAATGTAGGTCCTGCTTGGCATTTTCTTCCAAAACAGGCCTGTTTCATCACAATTAAACACTTGTTCAGGTTTCAGTCCTTCACTGTCTATGTACTCCTTGAATTCCTGCACATATTTTTCAGCTGCTTTGTGGTCCGAACTGGCAGCCTCACCATGCCTTATCACACTATGTATGCCACTACGCTTCTTAAATCTCTCAAACCAACCTTTGCTGGCCTTAAATTCACTCACATCATCACTAGTTGCAGGCATTTTTTTAATTAAATCCTCATGCAACTTCCTAGCCTTTTCGCTTATGATCGCTTGAGAGACGCTATCTCCTGCTAGCTGTTTTTCATTTATCCACACCAATAAGAGTCTCTCAACATCTTCCATCACTTGCGATCTCTGTTTCGAAAACACAGTTAAACCTTTGGCAAGAACAGCTTCCTTGATTGCCTTTCTGTTGCCCACAATAGTAGCGATGGTTGATTTGGGTTTCTTGTACAACCTGGCCAGGTCGGCGACACGCACTCCACTTTCATACTTATCAATGATCTCTTTCTTCATCTCTATAGTAATTCTCACCCTTATTCCTGTAGGGTTGGCACTAGAAGCTTTCTTGGGGCCCATGGTCACTTATTTTCCAGATAAAATCACCAAAAACACTGTAATAATACGAAATGTTCCGATTGTATGCTTGGATGTTACCGCGGAGGCTGGCTGGTAAACAATGCCACCGGCGGCACATGTGAGGCTGGCTAAGGGCGCACATTGGACGCGTCTCGGACGAAGAGCTGTGAGCGGGTTTTTGAGCGGTATGCGAGGCAAAATTTTTGCGATAAAAGCGAGCGGTATGCGGATTGAACGTTATGCGATGCGTACGGTATGTGGGGGTCCACTGTATATGGTACACAATTATTTGACTGCCACCATTATATAACAGCTTCATTTGATACAACACATAAATAGATATTATATATAAAAAAAAAAAGCAATGTAAAAAATACGATCATCCAGTGTTGTTGAAAATTCAGTGTGTCCATATCTCTGAAGGGGCCAGATAAACAATGATATATAATACATACTGGAAAAAAAAAATAGTTTCTAAATCAAACATCAAACCTTATACATATTTATGTAAGGTTCAATAAGTAAGATTATTCAGGTATAGGTACACATAAATACAATTACATAAATTATTATACAGTCTCTCCTCACTTAACGACAGAGTTTCGTTACTAAGACCACACCACATCAGTAGACGAATTCGTCACTGAATGAGGAGCATATAATGGTAGTGGGTTTGTGTCAATCATCTTTGATATTGTGTTAATGTCAAATAAAGTGACTTGTTTCCATTGGGATCCAGGGTTCATTTCTGGTGCAGTACGTGTATACGTATAGGTAATGCATAAAAAACCAAGATAAAATAAAATTCCTGTGCATCACATTATAAAGGAGGCATTTTTAATATCCTACCCTAGGACTGTATATCTCACGATACTCTGATAAATTTATAAGCACCCCCCCCCCTAAAAAAAATTCCTTTATATTTTCCCTTGTCTATTCTGTGACTCATTCTATTTGTCATGCACCCATCAACTCATCCAAGCCCAAGTATCAAAATATAGCCTCTCCTGACTTAGCAACATACTCGTTTACCAACACCTTGGACATACGACGGGCTCTCTGACCAGTATGCATATCTAAATAATGTACAGTGGACCCTCGCCTAACGATATGAATCCGTTCCTGAGAGCTCATCGTTAGCCGAAATTATCGTTAGCCGAATTAATTTTCCCCATAAGAAATAATGGAAATCCAATTAATCCATTCCAGACAGCCAAAGTATTAAAAAAAAAATTTTTTCATGAAATATACATTTCCCTACAAAGAAAACAATGAGACATGCACAATAACTACATAAACAAATGTTAAAATGACACTTACCTTTATTGAAGAGTACTGATGAGTGATGAGACACTGTTTTTCTTGAACACTGGGATTTTCAGATACATGAGTAAAGGCTTCACTTTGCAATCCCCACTAGCATTACAACAAAACATGAGAGTTAGCCTGTCTTTCACAGGCATGTGTCCTGGGAGTGCCTTTTCCTCCTGAGTAATGTAGGTCCTGTTTGGCATTTTCTTCCAGAACAGGCCTGTTTTGTCACAATTGAACACTTGTTGGGGTTGGAATTTTTCAGCTTCACCATGCCTTATCGCACTGTGTATGTCACTACAATTCTTAAATCTCTCAAACCAACCTTTGCTGGCCTTAAATTCACTATCACCACTAGTTGCAGGCATTTTTTCCTGTTCACCTGGGTGTTATTAGACTGTTGTGGGTTGCATCCTGGGGGACAAGATTAAGGACCCCAATGGAAATAAGTTAGACAGTCCTCGATGATGCACTGACTTTCTTGGGTTAGCCTGGATGGCTAACCCTCTGGGGTTAATTGTTTCTCAGTAATTGTTTCCCGTTAAGCCACACCAACAACACTCTCCACATCTTCGAGTAGTACAGCTGATGGTGGTGGAGCAACAGCTGATGGTGGTGCAGCAGCAGCAACAGCTGACTGTGGTGCAGCAACAGCTGATGGTGGTGCAGCAGCAGATGACTGTGGTGCAGTAACAGCTGACTGTGGTTCTGCAACAGCTGACTCTGGTACAGCAGCAGCTGACCGTGGTTCAGCAGCAGCTGACTGTGATTCAGCAGCAGCTGACCGTGATTCAGCAGCAGCTGACCATGATTCAGCAACAACTGACTTTGGTGCAGCAGCAGCTGACTTTGGTGCAGCAGCAGCTGACCGTGGTGTAGCAGCAGCTGACCATGGTTCAGCAACAGCTGACTCTGGTGCAGCAGCAGCTGACCATGGTTCAGCAGCAGCTGACTGTGGTGCAGCAGCAGCAGCTGACTGTGGTGCAGCAGCAGCAGCTGACTGTGGTGCAGCAACAACTGACTGTGGTGCAGCAGC